CTCCCCAGCTGTTCAGGCTCCTTATTCAGTAGCCTCCCTGGACTGCCCATCACTGCAGATCCCAGCTGAAAGTACAGCAATCTGGGCCACAAAAGCAGTCTCTGGTTTCAAGGATTGTAGGGCTGTGACTCTCAGGATAGTTACCTTGTGACATCAGGTCACAAGATGAGCACATCACCAAAATCTTTGTTTCACCCTACAAAATGATAGAAACTTGTGATTCTTAGGCGTAGATGAGATCGCAGTGGAAATTCCCAATGTCAGCCCCCAGCTCACCATGGCAAGTTCAGATGGACAGGCAGATTTGGAGAGCTGAGCAATTCCATTTTTTTTGTTGTTTATTCACAGATCTTTTATCACGGGGATCCGATTGCGGTGAACATAAAAATCAACAATGAAACCAACAAGATTGTGAAGAAAACGAAGATCGGTAGTAAGTCGAAGAGAGAAATTTGCCATGAGCCTGATAGGCCAGTAAACTACAGGTGAAGCAAGACAGGCTGAAGGTCCCATCCAGTTCCTAACTCTTCCTCTGTCTTAAAAGAGGTGGCTTGCTTGGCCTTTGTTGAAGGATTATGCTTCATTGTATTTCATCTAGCGCAAAAGTGCAGAGTGGGTTTGATGGTGTTTACCCTTGGCCAGTTTGATTGCCACCACTTGTGGTGTGGGGTGGAGTGGTTTGGGAGTTGTTAGCCTGTATCATTTTGGGAGAAGCTACCCACTAGATTCCATGCGGGTAAATCATGTAACAACACGTTCCGCCTTGTCTCTGCATACCAGTCTCAGTGAGTGTTCTGTGTATAACACAGGGGTCTTCAGCCCAAGTCCTGGAGGGCCCTAATCAAGTCAGTCTTATGGGTCACCTGTTTTTTAAGATTGGCATCATCTGTAAGAACTGATGAATCAAGCAAGTAATTGAGAGAAAACTAATCCTTGAATCCTTGAAGTATTTAGCTTTGTAGTCCGAAATGATCTCTAAATCACATGAGTAATCACCTTTTTAATTCATTACATTCGAATTGTTCCACATCTTTAGAAACTGGTGATTTAATGGTGACCTACAGAACCTGCTGGACTGGGGATCTGCAAGCTCTGGGTTGGAGATCTGTGATCTAAGGTTGAATAACACTGTCTCTCTGTCCTCAGTTGAACAGATCACAGATGTGGTGCTTTACTCGCTGGATAAATACTCCAAGGGTGTACTATCTGAGGAATTTACGTAAGTATCTGTCATCTAAATCCACTTCTCTAATGCAACAGCACCCAGAATGATAAGAGCTCACAAAAATATTCTGAAGGTGGATAAAACCGGCAAGGAATTAAGCCCAGGTGATTGAACATTGTTTCTTCCATTCATTTTGACATACTTAGCACATTTAATTCACAATTACATCATAACAGATTATGACCATTAAAATACTTAGGGATAGACACTTCCGAAAGTGATAGATAAAATTGCAATACAGAAAGAAAAGCCTTAGGATAAACTGTGATTTTCAGAAACGACAGCTGTAGCAAAGTCATAGTCACGGTCTCTGTGGAAACGGAATTGGAAAGCGGTTTCAACAGACATTTGAAAAGATCTTCAAGATTTAGTTTAATTAATTACTTTCTGAACTATTGGCCTTAAACGCCTTGTGGTCGTGATGGGGAGGGGGGAATTAGAGGAGTTAGAGGGTTCCTGTTTCTTTCCCCTGGGGTGTGGAAGGGCTTGACACCCCCAGACCAACGTCAGCCCTCTCAGTGCCACATGATAACCCCCACTCCCCATCCCCGCCCCCTCTGTG